CAGCTAAATATTGAAGCGAAGGATAAATTAATGACACCAAATTAACTTGGTATTCGGTAGCAATTATTGTGGTGCTTGGGTTTTGGTTTTCTGATACGCTAAATCAACCTCAAAGCTCAGTTTTGGTCACTCCGCTACGTGCAGTATGATAATCAATTATTATTATATTTGTGTGCATATATGTTAATTTGTAAATGGAAATACAATATGTATTGACGTTGTCTGTATGCAGACAAGGACCAGCATCCGTTTCCGTCTTACCTCCAGGGACGACCAAATGCGCCCAGTCATTCACAAATGTGGAATTCTCACAGAGCTCAGGAGTTAGGGCAAGGTCCCCTTGATACCGGGTACCAGTGGATGAGGATGGGCCACACAATTAAATCCCTTTTGCCTTCATGTTTCCTGTCGCCTTTTGTCTCCTCCTTCTTTTTTTTTGTATTCCTTTTTTTCTTTTTTTTTTTTGGCATGCTAAATACTCAGGCCAGACCACAATTGCTGCTGCTGCTGCTGCTGCTGCGGCTACTTCAATTTTCGAAAGCAGCTGCTTCGGTTTTCTTTTGCCGCTTGTGTGCAACACGTCTGTGGTTGCCACTTGCGTGACATTTCGACCTTTGGCTGGCCCGGCTCTTGCTGTTGCTGTTGCTGTTGCAGCAAACTTTTACTATTTTCATGCTAGGCATAAATTTCATTTGCCACACACAAGCGGCGAACAGCAGAGCCAGCCACGACACACACACATCCCCAAGAGGCACATTTCGTTGCGCTTTCAACAGCGCCACAGCAGCTTGAAAATGGCCATCAAATTACCAAAGTACCAAAATAACCGAAAGATATAGCAAATTGGTAATTTCGCCTTTAACCTAAGCAACATGCTGCTGTCATTATGATTAGCAACATGTTGCCCAATTGGCTACTGCTGTGCCGCTGCTTCTTACGGCCAACTAAAACAAAAACAAGAAAAAACTGACACTTGAGCCCAAAGATTCTATTAAACAGAAAATACAGCAAGCTGGTAAATTGTTTCCTAAATGCCAGAATTAATTACTCTGTCTTTCCCTTTGCTCACAACAAATTCCACTGCCGCCCAAAGAGCATTGGCACTTCGTTGTAGTCCAGCTACAATTATTTCGGTTTTAGTTTTTCGTTGTTCATTGGTTGCCAAAGAAGGCTGGCCAACAACAAAAACGCGTTTTTAATTGTTCAATGGCTTATCGCATGTTTTGGCAAATAATAATAGCACATACATTAAGCTTGTGCTTGTGTGTGCCAGTTCGAAGTTTTAACTTATGTGAGAAATAAATAAGAAAAGGAAAACATTTGTTAATGGCAGCCACGAATGTGATTGCATTTTGGTATTTTTCAATCAGTTTTCGTGTTTCTTTCGTATTTTGGCACAGTCAGCTGCAGGCAGACAAACATAAGCACACACATTCACGCCCATTTTGTGGCATCATTATCATATCTTTGTATCTCTTGGTCCCCCATCTGCGACTCTACATCGGCATCGGCATCCCAATACAACTCCATCTCCAGCTCCAGCATCAGGCTCTTCTCTTGTGTTCGCTTCGGTCTGTTCCACAGAAAACAGAAAACGTTGCAATGCCGTTACCAACACCACTCGAAACATTTTCAAGCATTTGGCTCACACGGATACACATGTGCACCCATACACGGATGCGCATGCGAAGGTTTATTTCCGTTGACGTGCCTTAATTCCAGTCACTCAGTTTCGGCTGGCCTGGCTCCAGCTCCAGCTCCAGCTCCAGCTCCTACTCCGACTGACGATGATAATGATGATGGCGCTTGAACTGTGCGCCTACACACACAGCGCGCGAAACAAACCAACAACCAACAGCCACAACACAGAGCAGAGCAGAGCAGAGCAGGGCCCTGGGCATTGGCATTGGGTGCATCAGCTGAGGAGTCCAGTCTGCCACAGCAGAAACTCCCAAAAGAGTGTTTTAAAATTCGTTTCCAGCTGCAACTCGTAGCTCGTGGGCTCGTTGTGTGTGGGAGCAGACTGCTTTCTGCTCAGATGAATAATCAACCTTAACTGGCGTCTCCGGTCTGCACACAGAGAGGAGAGGTGTCGACAACGACGGCTCTGTGGCTCTTTTCGGTTTTGTTGGGTGCTGCTCAGTGCCGACTCGGGGTTGTGGATTGATTAGCAAGTCTGTGGCAAGTTTAAAGGCAAACAAACCGCCAGCAAGGAGTCGGCCAGTTGGCCAAACCAAACCAAACCAAACCAAACTACTGATTGCACCATGATTGAGTGTGCTGCTTCCCATGTCATGTGGCTGAGTCAGCGCTGCGACTTCGATGCGATCAGAGCAGATCCTGTGAGGTGCGAGGCGTGGCATTTTATGCATAATTAGCCACAATGTGGAGAGGGGAAAAGGGCGGAAATGAGAGGCACTCAAACGTTGCGAGCCGTTGACCAGTTAGCGTGACAGGGGAGGAGTCGCTGTCGGACTCGGGGTCGCTCGCATACGCCTGAGCTGCATTTTAAATAAATAATTTGTGTATTGTTGAGGATGTTGCCAGACCCCTGGCATGAACCTGCCCTGCACTGGCCGACGCAACAGTTTTGTGTTCTACCAAGAACTGATTTATTTTGACCACGTACATATGCAAAGCGCATTCTAATGGAACCACCAGCCAGGCATCCGGACAGAGCCGTAAACCCATTGCCAGTGCTTCCTCTTGGCCAGGCCATTGTCTCTCCCTCTCTCTCTCTCTCTCTCTATGTCGGTGTACAATTCGCATTGTAGTTACGCTCTGATTTTTGAGCTTCCACCTGTTGCGATGGCTTTTGCACGCTACGCTTCCCTGATCCGATCCGGTGCCCTGCGGTGCGTTATAGAACAGACACCACCAGCAGCAGTCACTCCGCTCAATTGTGCCGGAAATGCCGCCTTTGTTGAGCGGAAATACAAAATGATATTGTTCTGTAGTGTGTTCTGTAGCAAGAAGTCTGTAGGATTGCCTTTGAATGGGCATCGAGTTGCAGCATGTTGCACCGCAGCTATCGCTTACAGCTGCCCAGTGAAGGTCTTAGTCTGTGCCTTCGCTTCCCAGTGCTTGGTCGCCCACTTGTAGACACAGAAAACTACAGCAATTATGCAAAATGAATATACATTATTATCATGTTTTGTACGCACATATAAGTCTCTGAAAAGGGAATAAGTAATCAGCCTGAGACGTAGAAGAAGCTGCGAGGAGTGCGCAGGGGCGACAGGCTGCGCAGGTTGCAGGCCACACGCAGATTGGGCAGATTCTGGGGATTGCGACAGAAGCGATCCCAGCCCTTCCAGTACTTGAAGCCCTCCCGCTCTTGAATCATTCTGGCGCAGGCAATGTCATCGCCAATATCATCGTTGGAGAAGTCTAAGAAGTCGATCAGTATTTAGCTTGTGGTTGTTTGAGTGGAATTACCTTCACACTTCATGTTGCACTGCCCGCCCTTGCGTCCCTCGGCGCAGTAGTCCTTGCTGTTGATCTGGAAGAGGCCATAGTTCTTGCTGTCGTTCTTGTTGAGCGTTATCTTGGTGGTATCCAGGTAGCTCTCGTGCTCCACCAGGCAAATCCCTGCAGCAGATTAATGTTTCGTTTAATGTTTCATGGACTTAGTTCAAACCACTTACAATTGGAGAGGAAAGTCTTGTCAAAGTTGTAGTTCTCGACCAGCACGCGGGTGAGTTCACAGCGCAGATACTTCTTGGACTCTGCCCGCTCCGATCCCGACAGCAGCAGGACCAGCACGAGCATCAGACGACATACCCAAAGATGTTTCATCTTTCAACTGAAAGAGAGGCGACATTAAAGCATTGCTGGGAGGTCCAAAGCGTTGGGCATGTGTGTGTGTGTTTTGGCTTGCTAATCATTTATGGGCATACTTAATTAGTCACACTCATACCAGCACTAGCACAACGAGTTCTTCGAATTCGGTTGCATAAGTATCGGTACTTGTATGTGCACTGTTTTTGCAGAGTGTTTACTTTCTTTTGGTTGAGATCTAATCTCAAGTAGTAATCCCACTTCACTCGTATATAAAATGCCAAAAATGTGCCTCTTCTAAGCCTTAGCGAGCTCCCCCAAAAAGCGCACAAACTACTCTGTGTGGTAGCTACCACTTAGATGATTAAGTACACGCACGTACACGTTTCACTTTTGTTTGATTTGCATACTCCGATCAGCAAAGAATGAGAATGAGTATAAAGAATAGGTTTCAGTTTGACAGCTACTTCTGGCAGAGCAAACTGTTTGTTTACTTCATGTTGTTAATGAACGCAGAGGCAGAACAAAACAACAGGAAACGAGTTTGCTTCGCAGAGTAAGTATCTGTACCTACGAGTAGGAGAGAGGTGGTGGTATGTTTTGCTTAATTATAAACAGCCCGCTCCCGACTGCTGTATCCGTATCTTCTTACCGCTTTTCGTACTCGATTGCGTGCCTTTAAAATCTCATTTGCACACGTCGCTCACTCGCTGGTGCCAGGTGCCAGGTGCCAGGTGCGACGCTTCTGACCCGAGCTGAAGTACTAAAATCGAAAGCCAAATGTTCCGAGTATTTCCCACATAGATTGGGAGGGGGCGCTAAGGAAATTCTCTCCCCAAATGCTGAGCGCAACGATCCACCTCTCTCTCTCTCTCTGTTTGTCTCTCGCCCGGTGGGAACGTTCTGCGTTTTGGGTGATTAAGCTGATAAGGCAGCCAGCAACTTGCACATTGAACGCAATGACATGCTTGAGTGCCGCCACCCTGTGGATTTGTGGTCTGTGGTCTGTGGTCTGAGGGTTGGGATTCTCCCTCCCATTTTGTGTTAATATCTGTCTGCTTTCTCGTAGCTTTCGTATTTCTTATCAGTTGAGTATGCAAAAAGTTCAATAAAGTTCCAAGTATCAGCCGCGGGATCGCTTTGCTCAGAGCTGCAGCTGATAGCGGAGAGATTCCTGGAAATGCTTTGCGAACGAAATTGCGCATTGAGCAGATTGAATACATTATCGTACGGGGGCATCATGGCTTAAGCTGTATATTAATTAGTTGCTAGAGTAATAGTAGAGTACGCTTAGAGGCTAGAGAGCAAGTCGGGGGAAAATGAGGGGCAAGTCTGCAGCCCGAACCCGTCCGTCCTAGCAGCGGGAGACATCGGGCAACGTGCGCCCACGACATTTGCTCATCCAACCGGGCCAGGCCTGGAAGCCGTGGCGATTGAAGATCTGCATGGCACAGCGTGAATCATCTGAGATCTCATCGTTCAGGAACTCTGTAATATAACAACATCAAATCTCTCTTGCTCTGCGCCAGCGCGTGGGCTGTGGACTCACCTTCGCATTTGATGTTGCAGATGCCACCGCGACGACCTTTGCGACACCAGTTTTTGCTGTTGATCTGTTGATTTGTGGTTTGGTTTGGTTTTAGTTTTTGCATGAGTTACTCATACACATGCACAGAGATAACCCACCTGAAAGAGTCCATAGCTGACGCTCTGGTTGGGCAGCTGCATGGACTTGGATGTGCTGCGTCCGCTCTCCGACTCCACCAGGCACACCCCTACCAGAACACAGAATACAGAATACAGAATACAGATCTCGGGGACGCAATATGATTACCCATTTAACTCACAGTTGGACAGATAGCTCCTGGGAAAATCGTGTCGCAGCAGCTCTTTGGCCAGCTGGCAGCGTGTCAGCAGCTTGGCCTCCGTCTGCGACTGCGTCAGCAGCAACAGATTGAGGACCAGGACTAGGGCACCTCCTTTTGTGTGCATCTGATTGGCCATGGATATGAGAGAATATATGGAATGAGAGCTGAGTGACTGCTAATCCTGTAGGTATGTGCGGCTTCCGCGGCAACTGCGAGCACTGGGCACTTTGCTGCGGAATTATTTCTATGGCACTGGATGCGTAGCGACCGAATTCTGGGTTTTTAAAGCCTCGCACGCACACTTAAGTGTGTCACTGCCCAGGCAGGCACAATAGGATAGGATCTTGCATACAAATTGATATGATGTGATGAGCTCTGGGGGTGGCAGTTCCGCAACCCGTAAAGCCTCGCAGTTTATCTCACAGTGCATCAATCGGCTCGACGCGACACGACGCGAGTTTTGATTGCGTTAAGCTCTAAATTGGCAAATTGTCTTGCAGAGATAAGCTCGGGTGCAGGCACAATGTGACTTCCAGCGTGAGACGCACTACAAAAAAGAACACCTACGGGTGGAATGGGTGCCACATATCTGAATGTATGTCTGTCAGAGCGCTGCTTGACCTAAAAACGCATAATCTGTCTTCTGTCTTGCTCTGCATCCAAGTGTTTTGTTGCTTTCAATAATAATTTCCATTTCCATGAAAATTTTTCCATTTGCATTGCAGCCTACTTGTGTTGCTCCTCTGTCTGGCTGTCTCCGCGCTGACAGAGGCCAATGAACTCAAGGATCTGCTGGAGGATGCCACCACCAGCACCACAGCTGCTACCACCAGCAGCAGTGTCCCCGCGCTATCCACGAGCACCGCCACCACACCCACCGCCTATGTGGTGTCGGCGGCTGCCGTGCCCGTGGCAGCCACCACCACAGGGAAGAGCAGGTCCAAGTCTTCAGCCGTCAAGTACTTTAACAAGGGCACGCCCAAGAAGCGGAAGGCCGAGCAGGTCTCCTCGCTGCCCCTGCCCGTCGATGACGGCCTCATGGAGTGGAAGTGCCCGAATATAACGAGCTCGCGCAACGCGGAACTCGAGTGCGGCTGCGACTTGCCGCACACCCTGAGATGCAACATAGATCTGCACGGCCTGCTGGTGAGTACTGCATCCACTGCCGATGTTGGACCCCTCCCTGACTCCATTCGATTCCATTCACAGCTGCTGGCGGACAGGCTGCGCACCTCCCCGTACTCCGTATCGCTGCTCGACTGCTCCCTGCGCAATGTGACCTTTCTGAGCGATGCGAAGATCTTCGACGGCGTCTCGCTGCATGGGCTGGTCATCTCCTCGGGCGAGATCAAGCGGGTGCACAAGTCTGCCTTCCTGGGCATCAAGGGTCCCCTGCAGGCCTTGGGGCTGCCCGGCAACGCGCTGCTCAGTGTGCCCTGGAATGCCCTGTCCACGCTGGGAGCGCTCGAGCGCCTGGATCTGGCCAACAACAAGATTAAGGCCTTGGGCACGGCCGACTTTGTGGGCCTGAGCAATCTGGTGTACCTGGAGCTGAGCAGCAATCAGATCTCGAGCATATCGCAGCGCACATTCAGCAACCTGCGGAAGCTGGAGGTGCTCAAGTTGGGCGGCAATCGGCTGGGCGACTATGCCCAGAGCCTGCGATCCTTGAGCCAGTGCCTGAGCTTGCGGCAGCTCGACCTGACGGCCAACAATCTGAATGGGCCGCTCAGCGCACAGACGCTGGCGGGGATGAGGAACCTGGAGAGCCTGAACCTCAATCGGAACATGATCAAGAGCATTCAGAACAAGGCGCTGGCCAACTTCTCGCGGCTGGTGAGCCTCTCGCTGCGCCACAACCAGATCGATGTGCTGCAGGACCACGCCTTCTACGGACTGGGCGCTCTGGACAGCTTGGATCTGAGCTACAACGGCATTGTGGCCATCTCCAGCTCCTCGCTGCAGCACCTGAGTCGTCTGACCGTGCTCGACCTGACGCACAACTTCCTGCGCGCCCTTACCTCGGATCTGATAGCACCGCTGCCATCGTTGCGGGAGCTGCGGCTGGCCGGCAATGACATCTCGATTGTGGCCAGGAATGCCATGGATGGGGCACGCGAGTTGCAGAGCCTCCAGATGCAGGACAATCCGCTCTCTTGCGACTGCAGCATTCGTCCCTTTGCCGAGTGGCTGCAGGTCTCCCAGCTACATTCCAGCCTCACCGCCTCCTGTGTGACGCCGCCGCGCCTCGAGGGTGCTCCGCTGCTGCAGGTGCCCGTGGAGACGCTCAGCTGTGACATGGACAATGTGGAGAAGGACAATGCCAACATAATGCAGCATCTGGAGACCTTGGCCAAGCCGAATCAAACCTCACCCGTCAGGGATTTGTCAGAGGAGGTAGGTGGAGACGAGCAGAGTGCAATGATCGAAGTGCACCTAAATAAATACGTTTTGCCTTTGCAGATTATACTCCACGATTTGCACTATTCAAATGACTATGGCCTGATCCTCACTTGGCTGCTGAATCTCAGCAAGAAGGACTACATGTGCGATGCCATCTTTGTCTACAAGGAGGAGAACATCAATGAGATACTCATCGACAACTCGCCGGTAAGTGGTGGAATTTCGACTCCTAGGATTGCCCCTGCTTAATCGTTGCCTTTCCATCTGCAGATCCATTGCGAGAGCAAAGTGGTGAATGGCCAGAACACGGTCAGCGTCATCGTACCCGACAGCTCCTCCCTGGACATAGGCAAAAGGTAAGCAGTAACTGATGAAGCCCCGAACTAGCTCATCCACTCACCCGATTCCTTATCTTAGCTATCGTTTCTGTCTGGTGATGGTCGAAGAGCAGAATCCCCAGGCGGACCTCAACATCGGATGCTCCAACATCACGCAGCTGCAGCTGAGCAGTCCGGGCTCCATTCCCGTGTCGCGCCAGTACCAGCGACGGCCCTACTACACGCCCAACGAGCTGAAGACCGACTCCCAGGAGCAGGCTGCCAGCGGGGACTACCAGCACAACCAGCGACAGTTCAACAGCCTGGCGGGCAGCCAGCAGCAGCAGACGCATCCCCACCAGCAGTCGACGCTGCTGCACAGCTACACTGTCATTGATTCGCTCAACAAGAGCTTCCTGCCCGGCCTGGGACTGGGCGTTCTGGTCACCTCCGTGCTCGTTCTCATCTGGGGCGCCACGCGGCTCCGTCAGTCGAGTGGGGTTAATGGCAGCGGCGCTGCAGCGGACAGGAGCAGGAGCAGTGGCAGCTGCAGCGGCAGCGCTGGCAGCAACAGCGGCAGCATACACAACAACAACAACAACAGTCGGCCGGGCACTCCGACGGCGACCACCTGCTACGCTGCCTCGGATCACATAGCACGCCTGGCCGACGCGGAGAGCGGAACGCGCTATCTGAAGCTGCAGGCGACGACGAGTCTGTGAGGCAGCAGCAGCAGCAGCAGCAGCAGCAGCAGCAGCACCCGGATCCCCACTCAATAAATCATGTGATAGTACAGCAGAAACTGTACCGACTTGCGTAGTTGCATAGGATATTAGTCCGTAGACCTAAGGACCTGCCACCCACTGCACTAATCCAAATACTTGGCCCAACACTAACCCACTCGTGCCATAAGCTAATCGATACACAATCCCACAGAACCCCACAGAGCTTGACAGCTGCGGTCAAAGTAATAGTAGTAGCGCCCCAAAAAAAGTGCATTACAAAAATTAAATGCAACCGGGAAATTAATAATTAAAGGCCCGACCGGACTACTATTGTTTCAACCGCAGTTGCAGTCAGCTCATCTAGAGCTAGTGTTAGCTGTGGCATACGTCTACTTTTAAGTTAGGAACTAAACCATAAGTCATGACCCTCTTAGTCGGTAAGGCTTTAATAATTTATTAACTAATTTCAAGGCACACCACACACACCAACACCCCCACACACACACACACACACACACACACAAAGTAAGAAAACAATTGTGGAAAGAGAGAAATAAAAGCCAATTGCAATCGAAGAGCAGCGTGAGGCCAGTTGGGCCAATTTCGTTGGTCTATTATTGGGTGGGCTATTACCAAATAGCCGCATAATGCTAAGTGGGCTGTTAACCTTATGGCCATGACGTCACAGCCACATCAGCAGCCACCCACTCACAACGAACATTCCGCTAAATTAGTTCATTTTACATGCAAATGAGCTCATACATTAACTCATCCCAAGGGAAACTTAGCCAGAATGGAGTGAATGGGTGGCAAGATAAATATAAATCCACATTTATGACGTGTACAGAGCCCATTCCTGCTTATCGAACTTTAGCGCAAGTTTATCGACCTTATCGGATTTTTGAATGCTTATCCAGAAATCAAAAGTTGGTCAAAACCAGAGCGGGACTTCCATGCGTAAACGCCTGTGGCCTGTGGCCTGTGGCCTCCCACCGTCGCTTTGTCGTCGCTCTGTTGTGGCCAGCCGCTGATATGGCGACGGCCAGCCCCCAGTCTCGCTGGCGGTCCCGCCTTTCATGCTTGCTAGCTGGCTAGCTGGCGGTGTGCAGTGTTAGTTGTTCCGTGCCAGTCCGTCAGGCGACAACAATGACCACTCCACTAGAGGACGCCGCCAGCGTGACAGCAATTATCGATTTTGGATACACATTGTAGAGAGAGAGAGAGAGAGCTGCAGGTTCAAAGGAAAAGGAAAAGTTCCAGCTCGGGTACCCGCTGGGCACCCACACGGTACAGCCTCTACATGAGCATGTTGGGGTTTGTCTATCTGGTTCTCATCTTGGGCTGGATACTGATCGTGCTCTTTCTCAAGTGCAAAAAGTCCTTGGCCGCACCATTTCGCTTTGGCGAGAACTACACAGATGCCATTGCCGATACGGGTGAGTCCGTGGGGAACACAACGAGAGGGAGCTAGTTGATTATAGCTCCACATTTAGCAGAACGTCGTCCTTCTGTGCATGTGATACAGCTGCAGCATGAGGATGTGGAGAGCCAGGACCACTATATGGACAGCTTTCACAGGAACACGGACAACCTGCAGCGGTACTCGCATCGCTCGCAGCGCTCCACCCTGGAAGAGCGCACCGTTGAACGTGCCTATCCCACAGATGCCGTGATTAATCCGGCCTACATGCACGACGAGGATTATGTGATCAATGGTGAGTAAAGCTGAACGTGTGTGTGTGTGGTGTGTCTTTGTGCAATAATCTTCCTCCTGCTCAGCTCCGCCACCGACGTACGAGGAGGTGATGCGCCAGCCACAGATCTATCCACAGGTGCGCCACAATAATCACAAGATAAGCGATGCTAACATTTAGACTTAGCCAAGGATTGATTTGTACATAACTGGTTGTTTGTCATT